TGAGTACAGCAGTTTGAGACCAGCCTGGGCAACACAGTGAAACCTCCTCTCTAAAATACCAAAAATATATATATATATATTAGTTGGGTGTGGTGGTATATACGCCTGTAGTCCCAGATACTCAGGAGGCTGAGGCAGAAGAATTGCTTAAACCCAGGAGGTGGAGGTGCAGTGAGCCAAGACTGTGTATTGTACTCCAGCCTGGGCAACAGAGCGAGACTCTGTCTCAAAAAAATAAAAAATAAAAAATAAAATAAAGCGGGGCGGGTAGCAGGCTTTTCACTAGAGGGAAAAAAGCTCAGATCACTACCTCATATTTTACACACACATAAACTATAGATGGATTAAAGATCTAAATAGAAAAAAAATTTTAAGTTGTTAGAAGAAAATAGAGATGCATATCTTTATGACCTCAGGTTACAAAAGAATTTCTTAAAGATGACACTAAATTATGAACCATGTGATGATGAAAACTAATTATGGAAAGTTAATAATTTGATTATCTCAAAATTAAAAACAATGTTGATACACACAAAAAATAAAACAAGATATACTGGAGGTAGACACTTGAAATTTTTTTTTTTGAGACAGAGTTTTGCTCTTGTTACCCAGGCTGGAGTGCAATGGCGCATTCTCAGCTCACCGCAACCTCCGCCTCCTGGGTTCAGGCAGTTCTCCTGCCTCAGCCTCCCGAGTAGCTGGGATTACAGGCACGCACCACCTTGCCCAGCTAATTTTTTGTATTTTTAGTAGAGATGGGGTTTCACTATGTTGACCAGGATGGTCTCGATCTGTTGACCTCGTGATCCACCCACCTCGGCCTCCCAAAGTGCTGGGATTACAGGAGTGAGCCACCGCGTCCGGCCCAACACTTGAAATTTATACAATAAAAGAGCAGTGTTCAGAATAAATGAAGAACCTTTAATTTAATTGAATTTTAATTAAATTTAATTTTCCTATTAATTTAAAAATTAATAGGAAAATAGGCAAATGATTTGGACAGACAATTCACAGAAGAGGAACTCCAAATGGCCAATAAATATGTAAAAAGGGCCTGTAATCCCAGCACTTTGGGAAGCTGAGGCTACTAAACTACCACCAAAAAAAATTACAACCAAAGTAGTTTTCATCCATCAGGTTTACAAAAATGAAAATTCTGACAAGAAATCAAGTATTTGGAAGGATATATAGAAGCAGGAGAATTGCTTGAACCTTGAAGGCAGAGGTTACAGTGAGCCGAGATCACACCACTGCACTCCAGCCTGGGAGACAGAGGGAGACTTTGTCTCAAAAAAAAAAGGTTGGGGGAGGCGGGGGGTGGACTAGAAGGATGTTTCTATGTATGTTTCTAGGGCTGAGAAGGGCATGACAGAGGAAATGAGCTTGGCAATGGTACTCAGGGCACTTCCACCACTTCAGGGACAGGTCTTTTATTAAAAAAAAAAAAAAAAAAAAAAAGATTAAGCCAGGCACAGTGGCCCATGCCTGTGAGCTACTTGGGAGGCTGAGGTGGGAAGACTTCCTGAGCCCAGAAGTTTGAGGCTGCAGTGAGCTTTGATTGTGCCACTGTACTCCTGCCTGGGTGACAGAGTGAAACCCCCTCTCTAAAAGAAAAAGAAAATTGAAAAACAGTGCCAATTCACTAGAAGGTAAGTTAGTTTTTGTTATACTACTACTTGTACCTGTTTCTGTTTTTCCAAAATGTTAAACACTTAGGTAAGTATAATACTAGCAGGTTTTTACTAAACTTACTAGTATTATATTTTTTACTTAGCATTTAAACATATAATCTACTATATCAGAAAAATCTTCGCTATACCTGAATATAAAATACTTGCATGTAAAAAAAAACAAAAGTACTAGAAATAACACATGAATGAATTTTTATATAATATAGAGGAATAACATGAAATTTATACAATTCGGTAAGCATGATTTGAAACTAGCAAAAGTTGGCTAGATCACACTATTAAAACAAACAGTCATCTGTATGGCAAACACATCTAAGTGAGGTTAAAAGAATAATAAATCTGGGCAGAATGGAGTGGCTCAAGCCTATAATCCCAGCACTTCTGGAAGCTGAGGAGGGTGGATCATCTGAGCCCAGAAATTCAAGACCAGCCTGGGCAACATGGCGAGACTCCCATCTCTACAAAAATAAAAAAAATTAAAAAACAGTTGAATGTGGTGTTACTCGCTTATGGTCCAAGCTACTTGGGAGACTGAGGTGGGAGAATTGCTTGAGAGTTCAAGGTTGTAGTAAGCTATAATTAAGCCACTGCCATCCAGCCTGGGTGACAGTGAGACCCTGTCAGGAATACTCCAATACAAAAGTACAAAGACATAAATATAAAGAAAGATGGATGAATAATGTAAAAAATGATAGAGTTCAATGGTAATTATAAATGCAAGCAGACGCATGCAAAATGAAAAGACTATCCCAATGAAGTCGGGGTATGGGAAACAATGTCACTGACTCTCTGGGATTGTCAACGATCACAATTTGGGAATATTGGCTTCACTCAAAATGTGCACACCTTTTAACCTATAATTCTTTTTTTTTTTTTTTTTTTGGGACGGAGTTTCGCTCGTTACCCAGGCTGGAGTGCAATGGCGCGATCTCAGCTCACCGCAACCTCCGCCTCCTGGGTTCAGGCAATTCTCCTGCCTCAGCCTCCTGAGTAGCTGGGATTACAGGCACATGCCACCATGCCCAGCTAATTTTTTTGTATTTTTAGTAGAGACGGAGTTTCACCATGTTGACCAGGATGGTCTCGATCTCTTAACCTCGTGATCCACCCGCCTCGGCCTCCCAAAGTGCTGGGATTACAGGCTTGAACCACCGCGCTGGCTTAACCTATAATTCTTATGAGTGGGAATTTATCCTGATGAAATGGACAAATATGCAAATATTCATTAGAGTGTTTTATACAAATGGTGCTCTTCCAACTTGGGTCCATGTGTTGCTGAGCCTAGCTGATGGCATGTAGGTAAGGATAGTTTATTTATTTTTATTTATTTTTTGAGATGGAGTCTCACTCTGTTGCCCAGCTGGAGCTCAGTGGCTCAATCTTGGCTCACTGCAACCTCCACCTCCCGGGTTCAAGTGATTCTTCTGCCTCAGCCTCCCGAGTAGCTGGGATTACAGGTGTACACCACAATACCCAACCAAATTTGTATTTTTAGAAGAGACAAGGTTTCACCACATTGGCCAGGCTGGTTTCGAACTCCCGACCTCAGGTGATCCACCTAACCCGGCATCCCAAATTGCTGGGATTACAGGCATGAGCCATGATGCCTGGCTGCAAGGATAGTTTTAAGAGATTCAATTTCTAGCTCCTCAACTTCCATATGTACTCTTTCTTAAAAATTATATGCCTGTGAATGCCTTTGTGGTCAAGGTTTAGGCTGGTTTTCAGGAATCATTCCAATTATTCTTTTTGTTTCTTTTTTTTTTGAGACGGAGTTTTGCTCTTGTTACCCAGGCTGGAGTGCAATGGCGCGATCTCAGCTCACCGCAACCTCTGCCTCCTGGGTTGGGTTCAGGCAATTCTCCTGCCTCAGCCTCCTGAGTAGCTGGGATTACAGGCACGCACCACCATGCCCAGCTAATTTTTTTTGTATTTTTAGTAGAGATGGGGTTTCACCATGTTGACCTGGATGGTCTCGATCTCTTGACCTCATGATCCACCCGCCTTGGCCTCCCAAAGTGCTGGGATTACAGGCTTGAGCCACCGCATCCAGCCCTCCAATTATTCTAACTCCCCTTTGACAATTATTCACCTACTTTACAAAAGAATTGAGTATCTCCTAACCAGTCAAATCTTACTGGAGTGTATTGCCATGAGGCAAAAACACCTGGGGAAGAGGAGAAACAAACAAAAGCTGGTATCTGTGGTGAATGTGAATGCCTCTAATAAAAATCCAAATTTTAGCTTTTACATTGATAGTGGATGATCATTACAAATAATTATTGATGATACATCACTCATTTTTGGTCATGTAATTAAGAGGGAATCATAATAATTGAATGGCACTGTTGTAATATATCTTGTATTCCCAAACTCTTAAAGTATTTCTATTATTTTTAACTTGCTATCATAAAGAATATTGGGTTTTTTCTATTTTATCAACTATAAAAATGAAAAAATTAGGGATAGAAAAGGAACAGTCTCACTCATGCAATAAATAATAATGACTCAAAGATACATGAATGTATAGGGAAAAATCCCATTTTTCTTAGTAAATAAAAGTTGTTTTCAGTATATAAACTTAAAAAGTAATTGTTAATTAAAATTTCTAACATTTGTTTTGATCAATTATATATTCTAATAATTGTGAAAACAATGTAGAAGATACTTTCATCCTTTGAGATTTAATAAAAAGCTTAAAAATTCAATTTATAGGCCGGGCATGGTGGCTCAAGCCTGTAATCCCAGCACTTTGGGAGGCCAAGGAGGGTGGATCACGAGGTTGAGAGATCGAGACCATCCTGGTCAACATGGTGAAACCCCGTCTCTACTAAAAATACAAAAAATTAGCTGGGCACAGTGACACGTGCCTGTAATCCCATCTACTCAGGAGACTGAGGCAGGAGAATTGCCTGAACCCAGGAGGCGGAGGTTGCGGTGAGCCAAGATCGCACCATTGCACTCCAGCCTGGGTAACAAACGTGAAACTCCATCTCAGAAAAAAAAAAAAATTCAATTTATAGAAAATAGGGTCTAGCTTGTCACCCCTGTCATTTTTGTTGCAGATAAGCATGATAAGCTACTCAATAAAATACAAGAAAATACGTGTAATAAAAATATATCACCTCAGAAAGAAGTTCAAACAAACAAAATATATCATCTTATGCTTAAATTCTATAGAACAAGTACAACAAAAGAAATCAAGGGCAAAAGGGAAATGATATAACATTTCTATCTATTAAGGAAGAGCTGAGCTCTACATAAATGATGGTGGGTATGAAAAAGCAATGCTATTTATACTTCAGTTGATACATTTAAAGGCTGCTTTAAAAGTTTTATTTTAAAATGTCAATATTTACAGCCCCCCTCCCCCAAGAAATTACATGCTTTGCAACTACAATGAAAGACTTAGATATCAACTTTAAAAATATACAGGAATATATATAGGCTTTCAATATTTTGGGAGAGAATACGTAATCACAAGTTGTGAAGACAGTTGGTATATCAAATATGTGAAAACAGCCAGTCCATTAATAAGACATGATTAAATAAACAATGGTATATTAATACACTAGTATATCCAAAGGGTATAAACAAGAATGATCTATATTCACTAACACTGAGATCTCCCCATACTATTTTTTAAAGTATTTCTATTAAACTTATTATCATAAAGATAACTGTTTTTATTTAAATTTAATTTAATTTTTAAAATTTTTTTGAGATGGAGTTTCGCTGTTGTTACCCAGACTGCAGTGCAATGGCACGATCTCGGCTCGCCGCAACCTCCGCCTTCTGGGTTCAAGCAATTCTCCTGCCTCAGCCTCCCAAGTAGCTGGGACTACAGGTGCGCACCACCATGCCCAGCTAATTTTTGTATTTTTAGTAGAGATGGGGTTTCACCTTGTTGACCAGGATGGTCTCGATCTCTTGACCTCGTGATCCACCCGCCTCGGCCTCCCAAAGCTGGGATTATAGGCATGAGCCACTGCGCCCAGCCTTGTTTTTTTAAAATAGGGAGGCTTTAAAATTCTGATCAATGATAAAAGCTGTAAAAGAATACATTACTATGAGGGCGAAAATACATCTACCAATCTCTTACAGCATCTCAAATTTTTCAGATTTCAAGTCATAAGATTAAAATGGAATAAAAGAACAGACAGAGGTAGGTTTTCTTTTAAAGTAATTTTACCAAAAAAAAGGGTAGAAAGATTAAAGAATAGAAAAAAACATTAGTTTTCTTAGATTCTAATACTGAATAAATTGTCATACATAAACCAGAGTAATTAATGTAAGCACAAAAATCAGTAAACTATCACTGTGGTACCACAATCTCTGCATACTTTTGTTTTCTTAGAAATTTCCCTTATTTATTTGTCCTATAAGTTAGAAGAGATAAATTACAGCAAGTGTTTCTGTTAACCATAGTAACAAAGGGCAGTGATAATTTATTGAGTGATGAGATGTGTTAGATGCTGTGTTAAGTGCCTTATCTACGTGAAGTTAATCCTTACAATAGTCCTGTGAGGTTTTAGCACCAATTTACCAAAAAGGAAACTGAGGCACAGCGAGGTTGCATAACTTGACAAAGGTCACACAACTAGTAAATGGTTGGACTGGATTTCAAACTCAAGTGTCTCACTGTAAAACTCATGTTCTTGCCCATTCTCCTGCTTTGTCTTTTTATTCGTCCCAAGTAAATTCACTTGTAATAAAAAAAACCTACTGAATATCTAAGGCATTGTGTGTGGAGGGGGAGAAGTAACAACAAAGAGCAAGGACATTCATGGGACTTTCTATCTATTATGATGTCCTTTGGGAGTTAAGAACTATATGCAACCTAGAGGAAAGGATAGAGGTAGGTATCAGGAGAGGAAAGAGAACTTGACTGAGTGCCTACTATGGTTGGTACTTTAATCTTCTTAGCACCCTATGAGATAAATGGTGTTAACACCAATTTTATAGATGAGACATCTGGAGCTCAGAGAAACTACATCTCTTGCCTAAGGTCAATACACCATGTATGAGAAAAGGGGCTGTCCGTATCAACATGCTCTCTTGAGAAATTACAAGTGGGTTAAAGACATACTTAGTACTATGGAAGGGAAGAGCTGTTGGGAAATTAATACTACTTACAGGTGAGTTATACTTCACATTTATAACACCATAGATAATTTGGATACGTCTATCATGGATAACTAGACAGTTATATCATCTGTCATACACTTACTTGGAAGAGTCTAATGTATTGGATACGATAGATTTTAACCATCTTTCTGGTATAAAGTAACATAATTATTGCAATACATTTTTCCTGTAGTAAACACATTTTTTTCCAGTTGCTCAAAAGATTTATAAGTATTTAGATCTTTTACTCAGAAGATAATTACAGAAATCCTAACTTATTGTCAATGCCATTTCTAGGTATATGCCTAGCATCTATATTTCTCTCTCAATCTGAACAATGCTGGCACTGGAAGACTTGGTGATACCCTGAAGGAATAATACCACCACCAGGAACCTTTGCTCTGCTCTATATGCAGGCACTGTTCTAGGTACTTTTACATGGATTTTTCCCAACATCCCTGTCAGGTATTATTATTATCCCCTTTTTACACTGAGGAAAGTGAGGCATATGGAGGATAAGGCAGTCTCTCAGGATCACAAAGCTAGCAATCATACCAACACAGTCTTAAACACTATGCTATGTTATTCTCGGCAAAACGAACATCTTGGCTATTCAAGAATTAGCTTTTTCCTATATAAAATGTTTAGAGAGTATCTGTTCAAGGCTGAAGCTATGGCCAAGTGTGGCGGCTCATATCTATCATTTTAATAGTTTGGGAGGCCAAGGTGGGAGGATCACATGAGGTCAGGAGTTCAAAACCAGTCTGGGCAACACAGAGGGGACCACATCTCTACAAATTGGTAGGCTGGGGTGGGTTGGTTTCTAAGCGGCCACCTAGTCTCCACACAGTAGACATAATGAACCTTTTAAAATAGGATTCAGATAATATTACTCTTTGGCTTAAAACTCTACAATAGTCTCTCATTTCACTTGGGGGGGGCGGGGATGGACAACAAAACGGTCACTACCACTGCTGAAGGCGCTTCATAACCCAGATCCATCCACCCTCTGACTTCACCTCTACCACTCAACCCTCCTGCCTGTTCCACTCTTTTTTTTTTTTAATTTCTTTGTCTCTCAGGTTTCCAATCCTGCTCCACCCCTGCCACACTGCCTCACTAATACTGCACGACAACTCTGAGTTTACCAGTCTAATGCCAATTTCCCCTTAACTGGCCCCTTTGTTTCATTTGATTCTTTGCTTAAATGTTACTTTACCAGAGAGGCTGCCTATTTACCCCTTTTCTTGCTTTGTTATTTCTTCCTAGCATTTGCCACCACATGACATATTATCTCTGTATCTCTTTATTGTCTACCTCTTTTGAGAAGGATGCAGAGTAAATGAGAGAAGGGGATTTGGTTGTTCACTGCTGTATCTTCAGTGTTGAAGCCAGCATCCAGAACTTGGAAAGGGAGGGAAAGGCTGGATAACTATTTGTTGAAAGAATGAATAAATGAAGTAGCTGAGAAGTAAGAGTGGAGTTCAGGTTAAAAGTTACTTTTTTTCCCTTACTTTGTGTGTGGCAAACACTCTCCAGGAGGAGAAAACACTGCTGGCAAGACAGTAACAAGTTCAAAGCAGCAACAAAAAGCACAGGACTGGAACAAATAATTGAAGACTCTGGTTGCCACTCACAGGTGGTATAAACATCACTTGGAACATTTACAAAACACATAGGCCCATGCTTAACCACTGAAGAATTAGCTTTAGGAAATAAAGGTAGAGGATGGGCAACTGTGTGTTTTAAAGTTCCACCAAGTGATTCTGATGTCCAATCCCTGTGAAAAACACATATTCAGAGAGTCTCAGAAGGCATGTGGTAAAGTATGCAGTAAATAAAATAATACACATTTGTTTTTCTTTTAAAAACCCACATACCTGACTGGGGACTCAAAAATATTGTTGTTTTTTGTTTCTTTTTGTCTTCATGTAAAAGCACTGCCTAAAAAATGAAACAGACTGGTTTACAATATCGAAAAGAAGAGCATCTGAAACAGCCTTAAAACTGAAACCATATCCAAGGAGAGCTGAAATAAGGCATGTGGGTGGCAGAATTTTGCAAGTTAACTGAAAAGCGAGACCATATGCAGGAGTTCTGAAACAAGGCCCTGCCATCCAGTGCCCAGCAAGCCTCACCATGCACCGAACACACACAGCACAGACAAAAAGAGCGCTGCAGGTCAGCCAGAAGGAGGGCCCAGGCTGCCACCAGTGCCCAGGACCTGGCGCAGAGCTGAGAGCACTCAGGGAGCATCTCCTGAGTGAACAAATGATAGACATGCCTCCTTCTTCGTTTGAGCTAGGTTTACCTGAACAAATGGACCAGTTGGTCTCAAAGGGACAGGTGAGGGGGATCCAAACGTACAATCAGATTTACACATTCCTAAAAAAGAAATTAGCACTTTTTGTTCCAATTTAAATTGAAAGCAGTAGCCCTATTTTAAAACTTTCAGAGAGAGACTTTCTGTTAGTGTGTCAGAATCTCCACTCAGTACACTGTGTGGACAAAGAGGCAATATTTCTAAAGAAATAAGAGAAAGCAGTGTAATATTTAGACAGTAAGAAGGAGCTGATTATTTAACTGTCACCAAAGGAAATTCCCTCTATCTATCCCCATGCCTCCACTGGCATTTCACTTTTAAAATATGATGACTACTAACTATAGTATGTCAAGACTGCATTTTGAAGGGACCACATTTCTAGAGAAGTGCTTTTCCTTATGCTTGATAATCCACCTGCCACCAGGACTCCCCTTTCTTTTTGAGTTGCTGCTGCCCCCACAGGCTGCCAAAATCACTGGTTTAACTGCTGTGAGAACTTCCCTAGTAAACGACTTAAAACTTGCTGCTAGAGAGAAAAAATAAATTCATCAAGGCTGGGGCAAATTCTCTACTTTGTTGTACCAAAGTGGAAGACTGTAATAATGTTTCAGTCATGAGTAATCAACACAGGCCTTGAGTAATTTTGGGAATACTATTTAAAACTTACCTATACTATTTACAGTTTCCTTACCTGTAAAACTATGGATATTAATACCCCATTTAATCAAGCTATTGTGAAAATTAAATGAAATTATCTATGTAAAGCACTTAAAATAGTGCCTAACTCATAATGAATGCTCAATGAATGTTAGCAACTATTATGATTGCAGTTTCTTTTAAATACATTTTTCTCTTATAACAACAAAAGAAAATCACTTTATTCTGGTGTATGTTTATGTGAGCTAGCTAAAGCTGTATCTTTCATAAACATTTAAACCCTACTCTAAAAATAAGATAAAAATTTTTAAATATTTCTTTTCATATAAAGTTCCTTTAAAAAAGAATGAGTATGATCTAAAAATCTCCTGTCTTAAGAAAAGATACACTATATTGCTGAACATGATAAAATAAAATGGAAGAGAGGTATTCTTGTTCCAGGAACTATACACGTGGAGTATTTTAAGGAAACTGTGAAACAGCTCACATTTGATGCTGTCCACAAACATATATATAAAACTGAGGATAGCGACAGGATTAACTACTTTAATTTAAAAAAAAAATTACTTCCCAAAGATTTCTATGCTTATTAAATCTCATCACTTGCACTGTTCTGAGAAGGGAGAATGTAAATTGCTTTGTAAATCATTACTTATTATACACACACAAGATATTCTTACAGTTAGTAGTCTGTTAAAAAGGTGCCCACAATAGACATTTCACCCAGTTAGCAAAATGGCCAATTTGTATTTAACAACTCTAAGGGGCAAGGTTTGTGGATGGTGTTGTACTAATGACTGCTATAGATATTTTCTTCACCATAAGAATAATCATACTCACTTGTAGAAAATTGATATGACAAAATCTACAAAAAAAAAAATCTTCCATAATTCCCCTCTGCAGATACACCCACTGCTAACTGTGCAGCCTACTTCCTTTTGTTCCCTTTTCTATGCATGTGCTTGGGTGTGGCTCACCTGTGCACAGAGTATGGTGTCCTGAGATAACTCGAGCTACTGCCTCCCCCTATGATTTGACTTCACAACTACATACATTAAGTAGCAAAGCTCAAGTTGCAGCTTCTTTTCTGGTCACTGAGGCTACATTTGCAGGTACCAGGGATGACTACACTTTCACCTCACTAATAATCTTAGAAAAGTCCACCAAATGACTCTCATAAGACTCTAAATAAAGCCAGGAATAAGTATTTAAAATATATGAAGGATCAACATTAAAGGAGGGGGAAGGGATTTTATTTTCTTAAAAACAAAGTCTTTTTTGAGTAAATTATACTGATAAATAAAGATGACTAAAAGAGTAAAGAGCTCTAAAAATGAGATTTCCCTTGAGATGTTAGAGCGAGCATCAAGGTGTGATAGGTGTCCATACCTGAAGAGCCTTTAAACTGTGGGCATTCCTTTTTAATGTGCCCTTCTCTTCCACAAATAAAACAACGTTTTTCTCTTAAGTCTTTGTCATCCTGTCTCTTCCATTTTTCCACTGGTGGCCTGAGGATCTTCTCCCTCCCCAGGTCAGCAGCTGCCCGCACTGGCTTGGCTTTCTGAGGTGTGCACTGCGTGGGCTTATCTTCTTTTGTTGACACCTCCCTTTCTGTGTACTTGTTGTGAATTTCTTTGTCCTCCTTGCTTCTTTTTTCTTTGTTCTCAGGGTATCTTTGGTTCAGGGCATCTTCCTGATCTCGACGCCGTCTCACTCTGTGGAAAAATATCATATTAGTAGCAAAAAATCTAACCAGAAGCCTAACAAGTTATTAAGGCAATCCCAAATTATTAAGGCAATTCCAGACTTCAGAGGAATAGAAGGTATCAAAGGGAAAAGCGAGAACCTAAATGAAAAAGCATTTTCTCTATTAAGAAGCTCCCTCAGGGTTTATAAGTATTGCTTTTCATTTTCATTTTCAAAGTTGCTCTAGTGCTGAAAAACCAGTATCTGCAATTAGTGGTGGTTCCTTGGTTGAATGCCTACTTTGACACTGAGATAATGAAAGGCAAATCATCCTTGCAATGACTTCTTGAACGGCCTTTCTGGTGCATTAGCATTCTTTACTAGGCACTGGAAATTTGAGATGTGAAGGCTTAAATTCACAAAGGAACAATAGTTATGAGATTTATGTTCTTAAAATGTCAAAATCATTTCTCCCTTGTCCTAATAATCACTGATTTTTGAGTAATTAAAAAAAAAGAACTGAAAAAAAAGCTTATCAAATTCCAGATGGTAATCTAATTTGAGCACCATGTTTTTAAATGTTACTGTACCATTAAAAACACCATCACTACCACCCAAAACGTGTCCCAGGCAAGCAAGCAAAAACATGCCTCTCTTGCCTCTCCATAAATACCACCAGAAGAAAGCATGGTGATCAAACTGCGTGGCTTACCTCCTCACAGCAATTATTAAGGGTTAAGTGGAATACAAACAAAGAGTGCTAAAATCCAGTGAATTGTTTGTGAATATAAATCCCAACATTCTGAACAGTTACTGTATGTAACTGAGATCCGGAAGGAACTCATTTGACTGTTCACTGACTGACATGATTCTGAACTTCTCACTACTGTAAAAAGGAAGAAGTTTTGTTTCCTCTTTTCTTCTTCCGTCCCAGTCAGAGAGGCGAATTAATGGTTAGAGCCATGACCAAAATTAGGAAAGGGGATCTGGCCCTGAAGACTGTAGCCTGTACACCAGAGTCAACCCTAGTCATCTGCACTTAAAGTCATGGGTTTTTGTTTTTGTTTTTTTGTTTTGAGACATAGTCTTGCTCTGTTGCCCAGGCTGGAGTGCAATGGCGCAATCTTGGCTCACTGTAACCTCTGCCTCCTGGGTTCAAGCAATTCTTTTGCCTCAGCCTTGCAAGTACCTGGGATTACAGGTGCCTGCCACCATGCTTGGCTAATTTTTGTATTTTTTAGTAAAGATGGGGTTTTACCATGTTTGTCAGGCTGGTCTCAAACTCCTGTCTTCAGATCATCCAATGCCTTGGACTCCCAAAGTGCTGAGATTACAGGTGTGAGTCACCACGCCTGGCCTAAATTCATGTTTTAAATTACTTAATTTCATTAAAAAATAAAATACCTTAAATGTAACTGAAAACTGCTGGATTTCACACAAGTGTATTTCTTTGTTATAATAGTACCTTAATTAAAAATTGGGATAATAAGAAAATAAAAACACAACCACTCCTTTTTGAACATTTACTTACTTTCTCCTCATAGGACAGTCTTTCATGAAGTGTCCGATTTTCCCACAAATTCGACAACATCTATCATTTGGGGCCAGCTCTCCTTCAGTTAACACATCTGGATCAAAAAAATACTCCTGGAAGAACATAGATATATAAAAGCCTGAACTATTCATGTGAGATAGGAACACAAAAATAACCACATATTAAATGGTAATCTTAGAATTCAATGCTGATATATCATCACTTTTAATAAATATTATTTATACTGCTTAATTCCAAACAAAATCTAAAACCATCAAGGTCTAACTCAGGATAGTTTTAACTAAATCCATTTTTGTTTTAGTCATGCAGACCACTGCTGAGCCCTAATCTTAAAGGTTTAAGCACACTTCTAAAGAAGTGGATTACATATCCCTACGAGTCAGCTTCCCCAGGATGTGGGAGGGAGCTGAGGCCAGGTACAAAGGCTTTGTCTCCACATGAAATGAAAAGACTAAAACCTAATGAATTAAGAAACATAATCTGCATCACACAGATTATACTGAAGAAAAGAAAAAAGCTACGTGTTGCTGCTTTGCTTAGTTGTGGCTTCTGAAGGAAAAATAACAGAACAAAAAGACAATGGTCTAGCCTCTAGCCTCTTTGTACTAAAATTAAGGTGGAAGGAGGCCAGCAACATCAGCATCACCAGGGAAAAGCTGTCACTGGAAAAAGCAGTCGTGAGCCTGATCCTAGACCTGCTGAATCAGAATCTGCATTTTAACAAAATCCTCAGGTGATTTGTTTGAGCAAGTTTCAGAAGCACTGGTGTAGAAGCTACATCGATATCTAGCAAAAACCAGATGTACAGATGTAATCAAACACTGAATGTGCCTATGCAGCAATATACTTATGTTCAAATAAAAAAGTCTTTGCTGGGAGGAGAGAGGGAAGAGGAGGAGAGTTGGTCAAAGGGTACAAAGCTTCAGATAGACAGGAGGAGTAAGTTTTGAGATCTATTGCACAGCAGGGTGACTATAGTGAATAACAGTATATATTTCAAAATAAGAGTAAATGTAAAATGCCTCCCATAAAAAATGGTGAGGTGATATATGTTAATTACATGTTGATTTCATCATTCCATACACATGTATCAAAACACCACATTGTGCTCCATAAATTATGTCAATTAAAATAATATTAATTAAAAAGCCTTCATAAGGAAATTAATGCAGAAAAACATAACTTTATTCTTAACAAAATCAACTAGTCCCTAACCATTTTCCTCTTACTGAAATTATTTTTTTGACATAATTTTGCTTTGTTTTCAATAAATGTGGTCCCTTAAAATCCCGAGTATCAAGTTATATGAGAAGAGATAGCTGTCTGGTACAGGTAGCACCGTCATCCCCCTAGTCAGAGTAGAAGATTTGCTACTTTTTGCTAGCAGATTGGAATATCTAGATTCTAGATACGTACAAACTGGGCTTGGCCAAGGCTGGCATCAAGCCGAATGCTGGCAGAAAAGCAATGCACCTATGAAGGTTAGCATAGATAACCAGAAGAAAAAAGGTATCAAAGAGGAAAATTTATTAAATTTAATAAATTTAAATCCAGCTTCTCTATTAGGAAACCACCTCAGGGGTTAGAGTGTAGCTTTCCTTTCTTTTTTTTTTTCAAAGCTGCTCTAGTGCTGGCATGAGTTTCCCTGGTGCATGTTACCAAGGAAAAGCAGCAAAAGGAAAATAGGAATTTTTCCACCCAAACTCCACTTCTAGCTATTTCTCTCTATTCTGATGGCCTCTACCCAGGGATGTCTAAAAAAAAAGAAGGGAGGGGGGCCCTCTGGGAACTATTTTGTGCTACGATCATTTATTTTAGCTAGACTTACCAGACTTTCTAAGTATTTAAGTAATGAAGTAATGTGTACAAATTAGGCACTTTAATTAATTAACTATTTTTTTTTGGTATTTCCAATAGACACTTACCATTTTTGAGGGGTAGTCCTTTGGAAATCCCTTGACAGGAATACCAAATACTCTTCTACCATTGATAAAAGCCTTCATTATAAAATTTGTCACTAAAAAGAAGAGTGAGAACTCAATCAGATGGGTTAAAAGGAAAAGAGATTGTATTACAACTGACAAACTACCTGGGCCTGGTGGTGCCTGTTATTCTAGCACTCTGGGAGGCCAAGGTAGGAGGATCGCCTGAGCCCAGGAATCTGAGACCAGCCTGGGCGACAAAACCCAAGACCCTGTGTCTATTATAAAAGTAAATAAATAAAATAAAAAGTAAAATTGGCAAAACAAAGTTACTTACTTTTCCTTGACAATCCAGCTCCAAGATTATGATTCAAATCAAAAGGATCTATGTAAAAAAAATTTAAGAGCAAATAAGGTAATCAAATAGGAAATGCCACCATTCATCCAATAAGTAAAGTTCATAAAACAAGACAAGAATATCACCTACTTTGCTTATCATTAATAAAAGTTTTAAATTCACATCATAGAAAAGAAGTACAAAAACAAGTTTTAAATGACACCTTTTAAATGAGCTTAAAAGTTATAATAAAACTAAGCAATACATATTCCTAAACATAAGGCAAGTTTTTCTACTAAAGTGTTCATCAGAATAGAGGGAACTGCTTTATATTTAAATCATTATAAAGCTTTTCATGTTATGACTGGCTGCCTGTTTTTGAACAAAATACTGTTTGCAGAAGGCACATTAGCCTGATATTACTTAATGACATTAGTTTTGGATGTATATAGAAGTTACAAAAATATTTAAAACATTTTAGCACTAAATGTTACCATTATGTAACAAGTTTCTGAAAGATCACTTTAGAAAATAATTCATAATGGAGATTACAAAATACACTTATAAGATAAATTAAAACACACAGATATATACATCTGTCCCAACAGCATGCCATTGGCTACCTGGATCTTGGGATACAATTTCCAATAAAGGCTTAATATAGACTCTCATTTGATCTTCTATGTCTGCATCTCAAACATCTTAGATAGCTGTATATATGATGTGCTTTGGAATACTGTTTGTTAAATAGCTCAGAAAACAGTAGGAACGATGAAAACAATGCTGATGTCAAAGATGTACGTGAGGTCTGAATAAACTGTTTCATGAAATAACTAGGGTTAAAAGCACTATTTCTAAATCCAAAAACTGTTTTATAAGTGATCTAAAATAATATACAACCATAATGATTCATAATTTAGACATTATGGTATAGATATTTAACTTCTATTCTTCACATCCCTAAAACAATATTCAAGAAGGCAAAGAAAAAACAGTGGTCCTTTCTTCTGAAATCCTCTTATTGAGAAAATGAAGGATTGCATGGATATGGTATACACAAGAAAAGTAAAGAAGTAAAAAGAGGCATCTTCCACTTGCCAGTTACACTTCTAGGGAACAGTAACTGAGGTGTACCATACTGAGATTAAGACTAACAGTTTAGTGAAGTATAGGACCCTTCCTTCAGCTTAACCCTACAATAATAATTGCTTTGAGAAGGTTACCTTCATCAGTTTGGTCATGCTTTCTTCAAGTGATTTTTTGTGTGTATGTGTATTTCTGGTTTTGCTTGGTATAGTGGAGATACTACAACATTAGCTACTGTACAGTTAAAAAAACTATTACTGGCTGGGTGCAGTGGCTCATGCTTGTAATCTCAGCACTTTGGGAGGCTGAGGTGGGCGAATCACCTGAGGTAAGGAGTTCGAGACAGCCTGGCCAACATGGCAAAACACCATCTCTACTTAAAAAACAAAAATTAGCCAAGTGTGGTGGCATGCGCCTGTAATCCCAGCTATTCTGGAAGCTGAGACAGGAGAACACAGGAGGGTGAACCCACGAGGTGGAGGTTGCAGTGAGCTCAGATTGTACCACTACACTCTAGCCTGGGTGACACAGTGAGACTCCACCTCCCCAAAAAACAAAAACAAACTACTACTATCACCACTGAAATATCTCAATTCTATAATAGCTGGTTTTATGATTATGAAGTCTTCTTTTTAGTTTAGCCTATTATTAACAGCTCATCTGAAAGTAATGTAAAAATAAGAAGCAAAAAATAATAAACCTTTAAAACATAAAAAAGAATACATTAGGCCGGGCACAGTGGCTCACACCTGTAATCCCAGCACTTTGGGAAGCCAAGGTGGGCAGATCACGAGGTCAGGAGTTCGAGACCAGCCTGGCCAACATGGTGAAACCCCGTTTCTACTAAAGAAACAAAAAATTAGCCCGGCGTGGTAACGTGAGCCTGTAATCCCAGCTACTCGGGAGGCTAAGGCAGGAGAATTGCTTGAACCTGGGAGGCAGAGGTTGAAGTGAGCCAAGATTGCACCATTGTACTCCAGCCTGCAAGACAGAGCAAGACTGTCTCAAGGAAAATAATAATAATAAGTGACAGACCATAAGAACTGCAGTGATAATGACAAGGAATAAATCAAAAGTTCTATGTGTTCGACATATGAGATCTTTATTTATTTATTTATTATGAGACGGAGTTTTGCTCGTTACCCAGGCTGGAGTGCAATGGCACGATCTCGGCTCACCACAACCTCCGCCTCCTGGGTTCAGGCAATTCTCCTGCCTCAGCCTCCTGAGTAGCTGGGATTACAGGCACGCGCCACCATGCCCAGCTAATTTTTTGTATTTTTAGTAGAGACGGGGTTTCACCATGTTGACCAGATGGTCTCGATCTGTTGACCTCGTGATCCACCCGCCTCGGCCTCCCAAAGTGCTGGGATTACAGGCATGAGTCACCGCGCCCGGCGACATATGAGATCTTTAAAACGTCAAAACTATGTCTGTAACCCATGGTGATATGAGTTTCATTTTACAAAAAGTTCACTGTATTTTAATATTACCAATAGGCAGAAATAATAATAAAACCACAACTTAGAAAAGTACATATTATTTAAGTGATACAAATATTAAAAATTTTAAATTTAAAAATCTTATTAAAATTAACAAAATATTTCTTAGCCATTTCTCAGCTTAAGCATTTAAATTCCATTTTGTCTTAAAATTAGAATCCCACAAATTGGAAATAAACAATCAACTATTAGCATCAATGACTCCAATAGACCACTATATTCAATAGAAAAAGAAAAGGCAGCTGGGCACAGTGGCTCATGCCTGTAATCCTAGCACTTTGGGAGGCCAAGGCTGGTGGATCACGGGAGGTCAGGAGTTTGAGACCAGCCTGGCCAACATGGTGAAACCTCATCTCTGCTAAAAATACAAAAAATTAGCCCAGTGTGGTGGTGGGTGCCTGTAATCCCAGGTACTCAGGAGGCTGAGGCAGGAGAATTGCTTGAACCTGGGAGGCATATATTGCAGTGAGCCGAGATAGCCTCGGTAACAAGAGCAAAACTCCATTAAAAAAAAATAAAAATAGAAAAATAGAAAAAGAAAAGGCTTCCATATGGTCAAAATAAATGCCAAAATTTATATATTATTACTTATCGGTGAACTCCATCAATAGGTAATGAAGATCTTGAAAATTCACTTAGTGGCACTCTTCAAACTCTCAAATCAGAGAGTTGTAAAAGTACCACTTTCTTGAAGCTGCTTTATCACTACTGCTGCCTTATTCTTCAGTATGTGTCTAACAAAAGTAAAAGACTGTGACAAGGTGAAAAGGCTTCAGTCATTTAAAAACAAATCTTTAGCCTGGAAAGAAACAAGTTGGCCTGGGGTGGACAATGAGGCTGGGGCACTGCACACCCCAAGCAGCTGCAAGGAGGAAGAACAATGTCCTTATAATTCAAGCTCTACAGTCTATTCAACTTCAAGTTTAATTTTATTTGTACCTTCAATAACAATGTATTTTGAGGTCCACTGTTTCTTAAAAGTTGTAAGCAGACTTTTTCTCCTGATGCTAATAACATGTTCTTTAAAATCAAATTCCTCTGTGTAGAAACGAAGAAGGCCCAACCATAGCTGCCCAACAGATTCTGTATTTTTCCCATATTCTGGCCAATAAGTAGGCTAGAAATAAAAGGGAACAAGGGACACCATGGTCTTTAGTAAAGTGTTAATATCAATATTCATTTGTATCTTAGGGAGTAAATTTGGATTTATTTCTAATTAAGTAGAGTTTAATTATACAACTTTTCTTATTTAAAAATATCATTTACATCAGCTTATTAATCTCTATGACTTAGAAATGGGAACAGCTCAGAGTTTTCAGTGTGAAGTCTCAGAACATTTAGTTGGAGGATCCAGAAATAGATTCTAAGAGCCTTGGTAATGCGTAGGTTATTTCGTATCTTTAGTTCAACGAGTCTTTCTAAACTCTAGGTACAAAGCCACAGAACAAATATTCATTCACTTGAAATAGAGTTACTTAACCACTTGGAATTATTAGGCATTAAAGAAATACTGGATATAGTCCCTAGAAATTCATTTGGCTTAGTAAAAATATTCTCACATCAAAGAAAACATCTGTAAACACTACTTTTTTTTTTTAAAACTATCATAATATAAATACAACAAGCAATAAAATAGCTGTTGACTACACTGTAGTATAGCTAATTTTTAGTCAAGGATATAGGAAAATCTTTACTCTTAAAATACGTACCAGTTCATCTATTTGATCAAAAAAATAAATATTCCAGCCATCAACAAATATTTCAGGTTTCTTTTCACCTTTGTATATCTGAAATTAATTTTTAAACTATTAGTATGGATTACAAACTTAATGCATGGATACAAAAACTTCTAGAAAAATAGGTATAACTTTACAGAACTGCAGAATTTTAGAGCAGGAGAAAGGCTGAGAGATCACCCAGTGTTCCAGGTAAGAAATAAAATTTCATTCACTAATACCTCTTGAAGAATAGGAATGACTGGTGGATTCCTCTGCTGGAGAAAATATAGCACCATAAGAGTATATGCATATGATGATAAGCTGCCTCTAGATGCATCACCAATATCGCACATCTAGACAGAAGGAAAACAAAGAACGAAGGAAAGGTCACCAAGGTTTTCTGCTAAGTTTGCATCCCTTCTATTGCCACTAAAAGTAAAGTGCATTACTTTGAAGGCTAATATAAAAATCATGTTTTCAAAGGTAAAAAATATGCAAACAAAGCCAATCCAACCTAGCAAAGCTGTGGACAGTTGGCTACATGCAAGATTGTATAAAATTCAGAACAAAATTTTAGCTGTCTCCATAGGCCCTGCCAAAGAGTTACATGAAGCATTTCACATGACTATAGTTCATTAACAAATAGACGTATGCTTTAACAGTGTTTAAAGATGCAATGAAATTTCCTGATAAGTCACAGTAAGAAGCATACTTACCTTTGTAAACACTTTCATGGTATAGCACAAATACTTCACTCTGGGATCAATGGCGGAATAAGCAGATAAAAGCCTTGTATTATGCAGGGCCTGTTAAAAGGGAAATAACACTATAAAACTAACAATTACGTGTAAAGGGTTTGTTGTTGTTGTTGCTGTTGTTGTAGTTTTAAATAATGGAGATGGGATCTCACTATGTTGCCCAAGCTGGTCATAAACTTCTGGGCTCAAGTGATTCTCCCCCGTCAGCATCCCAAAGTGCTGGGATTACAAGCATGAGCCACCATGCAAGCCTAGATGAAAATTTTAACCTGGAATATTCTAATAGGTTTACAGTGTGATTCATATTAGGCAGAAGGCATTTCAACTGAAATTAACCTTTTTTTAATCCCCCTTAAAGACAATCTTCATTAACTTACTAGACAATAATAAAGAAGTATAAGTAACATCTGACTTCATGACTCTTATGTCCTTGGTCTGAACATCTAGAAAATAAGAGCTAGTGAAATAAACTATCAGTTCCCTTTCAGTAGATATAATATCTCTCTGCATAAACACCCCTCAGGGTCCAGAGAGGTCCTACAAATCCCTGAAACATATCTGAATCCTCAGCCTCAGAACATGGCCAGTTTCACAGCAAGTAAGCATAATAACCCTTGAAAGACTGACTAAGATGAAATGAATGGCTTGCTTAATTTGAGGTTTTTGAAAGGTAAGATATTTGCTCCCTTAATCTCTCTGAACAAAAAGCCTGAAGAAAATCTTACCAATGTGTTATACAAACTGATATCTACTTCCAGACCACTTCTCAAATGGAAGAACTTCACAATTGGTACCTTTGCTGTTGTAATAGGTAAGATGTTTCTCAGACCTAAGTTGGGAAATAAAATGTTATCATTAACAGCAGCCGGGGATATAAGTAATTCTTTTATTAACGTTCCAGTATAAAATGGTGTAAATCTAACTTTGGCCTGTTTCACTGCCTTCATTAGGACTAGTAAAAAAATTCTGTTATTAACAAACATCTGGGAAGATTAGTCTGGCAAAGTTTACATTTATTAAACACACTGATAATAGAACTACAAGAATCAAACAGTCACTCCCCTCTAGGAACTTACTGGATCATAAATGCACACGTGTGCGTGTGTGTATGTGGGGGGAGATCCCGCAAATGCCAAGGCAAGGGCCTAAAGCTGCAGTTTGTTCCCATATAAATAATGAAACAGAAAAGAACTAGAAATATAATCACATAATTATTCATAACTAATCATTGATATAGATACCTAGATATATATACTCAGTATAATCTTTTAACTTTGCTAATGTTTCTCAGCTTGTGAAGTGTGAACCTAAGATGACACTGTGAAAGAAGTGACACTAATGCAAGATGTTCTAAGCCCTCTGTCACACCCATGTAATGGCTGCTGGAGGGCATCTTGGGTGTGCAGCAGTGCTAGCGCTGAGAAAGCGACCACTGTTTAGCCAGCTGTGGAAGGAGATGTCCAAGATACCTCCTTCCTCAGAGGAGTTAGGAGAAAACTCCACTCCCGTAAACACTGTGGTAGGCCTGACGGCTGTCAGAGATGCCTACAAACACCCAGGGGCTTAACTGTCTCTATGTGGTGCTGCGCTTCAGTGGTCACGTTCCACGTCTACTTTCATGTTCCGCTTCTGCACCTAGTTCCTCTTTTTCTTAGAAGACAGAATCAGTAATAGTAACATAAATCTTAAAGTTTTTGTTCTTTCTTAATGAAAAAAGTGCTGACGCATTATGCTCCTTCCCTCGACTCAGCTACTTGAAAGTCCTGGGCCTCTATCTCCAAGACACATGATTTACTTGACCCTATCACTGACCACCAATGACTCACCCTACCTACCCTGTCCCTTGCTTTGTCCTCAATAAAAGTCAGAGTATCCAGGCACTCCGGGCCACTGCCGAACTCCGTGCCTTGCTTAGCAGTGGACCCCTGGGCCCAAATTTTCTTTCTCTTGATCTGTATGTCTTGTGTCTTTACTTCCAGTTTCTTATCTCCACATCAATAGAAAGGGGCTCAAAGGACCCTGTAGGGCTGGACCCTACATACGAACATGCATATAGATGTGGTTGTCAGTCAGACAAATATCAAAACAGAAGAAGCTACTACAGAGTCTGAACTATGTTGTTCCCACCTATTCTTCCCATGCGACTATATCTAATTTGGAGAAGAGCCTATGGGACAATCATCCTCAAAACAAATTACTCACCTTAGAGCTAGAAGTTACGAATTTATGAAGGTAATAGAAAGGAATCAACTTCAATAGAAGAAAGGAAATTGCCTGAGCTAAGCTTTGAAAAAGAGGGAGAACAACCAGCAAAAATAGTGGCAGTTGAGGGAATTTACCAGGCAAGGCAAACTACACAGAAAGCATAGATGCCTCCAACAGAACGGTATGTTTAGGAGGTTCCAGAGAATTGTGTAGGTTATGGAATGAACTTGAGGGAATGGAATATGAGGCATAGAAGATGGAGAAACTGGAAAGAGCCCAACTAGAGAACATACACATTTTGCTAAGAATTATTCTTAGAATCAAAGAGGAGCCAATGAACTGGTCTAATTTGGGAGGAATCACTGACTACATCTAGTTAGACAATGCCCCCAGCAGTGGATTGACTGGTGGCACCAGGAATAGAGGCAGGGTGACCACTTATGAAAAAATAACGGGGTGTGAACTCTCATGGTGGTATGGGGATACACAGAAGAAGCAAGGCATGTTTGAGAGCATCTATAACTGGATGGGGAGCTAGGGATAATAAGGGAGGATCCTTTAACAGTAAGAGCTACCACTTCCTGAGCCCCTAATGTGTGATAGGGGTATGTGAAGAGTCCTTTATAAACATTACCTCCTTAGCTTTATCACTCTCATCTTACAGATGAGGAAACAGAGACCCAGAAAAATCCACTAGTTTAGGAACATGCAGCTGGTAAATTGTGGAGCTGGAATTCAAATCTAGGTAAGACTGACTGACTCCCAACCTAGTCTGGGTCAGGCTAATTACCATTTCATCTGTTTTGTTGATTCCAGGGATGCCAATATCAACAACCATGAAAGAGGATTCAGAAGGAAGGGCAGATTAATGGAGTTGGTTGCTACAGAAGTGAAGTGTTAAAGTGAAAGATAAGCTCATTCTGAGATGTCAGAGTTTGAGTTTCTTCTGAGAGAGCTAAGTGGTGATATCTAGAAAGCAGATACATAGCGATTGTATCATAGAACACAGGACAAAATAAGTAGATAGAAGACATTTCAGGAAAAAAGGGTCTTTGTGGCAGACAGAGGAAATGGAACTTAATTTGATGGGGAAAGGGGGCAAGGAAGCTCATTTTACTGAATACTTAGAATATGCTAGGCCTTGTACTTTAATGTATTATCTTTCTTAATCTTAAATGCCATAGAATTGTTATTTCCACTTTGGAGATGAGAAACTGAGTGCTTGCTATGAAGCTGAATGATTTTCTGGGATTGCACAGCCAGGAAGTGGGAGACAGAATTTAAAACCAGAGTCTGATTCCAGAACCTCCACCTACTACTTTGCTATCCTGCCTCTAAATTAGACAGATACCTTTTTCTTCACATTGTTCCCATTCTGGAATTTGACACTGTTGACCATTACAACACTACAAAGTCTGGGACTTATTCACAGCATATCATTCCAGTTCCTTTTCTTAATTTCTGTCTAGTCTCTTTCTCTCAATCTCTCTCTTTTTCCTCAAGGCTTTCAAGCAAAAAAACCTGTTTTATTTTCATCTTCAATTCTGACTGACAACCCAATATTTCTAATTGCTTTCTGGAATGTTAACTCTTTGAGATTATATACTCATGGTAAACTAAACACTTCCACACAGGTGTTCTCTGCAAACATTCCCAGTTCTCAGATACCTCTGACCTTCTCAAATACATATTGTCCTTACTCCCTACTTGTAGGTACAAAATCCAGGAAATTTCCCCACTTGGAATCTCTCATATCTTTTTCCTGTTAGTACCAATGACAGCCTGGCTGAAGTCCTGCTGCCCTGTTGTCTAGATTATACTTCCATAACAGAGACCACACCAGCTGCGTAAAAACCTTATGTTATGCTTTTATTGGGTCTTTTCCCTCCTGAAGAAACTTAAGTAGCCTCCAAATATTTACAGACTTGACCTTATTTCTAATATTTCCCATTTGAAAATCTCCAAATGTACCAATCTTCTTACTGCTTTCCAAAATATCCCACAGTAACACATTCACTTCTACGTACTTAGAAATGCCTTCTTTTGCTGTCCTTTTCAAATTGTATTCACTGTCACCTGAGATCATAGCAAGTCCATCTCTTCCATCAGCCTTCCCTGTGCAACCCGTTCCCATATTCTCTCTTCTCAGAAGTTATTTAACTGAATACTACCTTACATTGTTATGTAGTTTGGGAGATTATTTTACCTCTTAAAATATGGAACCTTTCAAAAGAAAAACCTATAGATTTTTAATTTTTCCACCATCCCTAAGTGCCCAACACAGTGCTGTGCACATAGGAGGCACCCAATAAAATACCTGCTTTTAAAGCCACTAAGTTTTAAACACAGCCCTCTAGCTGTTATGAAATTCTTGTTCTGTGCAATCTGCATTCCATTATTATTATAATCATGTGTGTCTAAGTCATTTCTAGTCTAAAAATGATTTGTTTTTAACATGGTTCCTTCTTAGGAAATATATACTGAGGTATTTAGGGGAAAGGACATAATGTCTACAGCTTAATCTCAAATGGTACAGGAAGAAATGAAGAGCAAGCAAAAGATGGAATGATGAATCAAATATGGAAAATGTTAATTGGTAGATCTGAATAAAAGCTATATGTGGAGCTCTTTATGTAACTTTTGCTGCTTTCCTTTAAATCTGAAATTAAATTATTTCAAAACACAAAGTTAAAGTCTAGCTAAGTGCTAAAAAATTAATAATTGGTCGGGCACAGTGGCTGACACCTGTAATCCCAGCACTTTGGGAGGCCAAGGCGGACAGATCATGAGTTTAGGAGATCAAGACCATCCTGGCTAACATGGTAAAACCTGTTTCTGTTAAAAATACAAAAATTTAGCCAGGTGTGGTGGCATGAGCCTGTAGTCCCAGCTACTTGGGAGGCTGAGGCAAGAGAATCATTTGAACCTGGGAGGTGGAGGTTGCAGAGAGCTGACATCGTGCCACTGAACTCCAGCCTGGGCCACGGAGCGAGACTCTGTCTCAAAATAAATAAATAAATAAAAATTAATAGTCATGGTAACTCAGTACTTTAGTTTCTTTGCACAACCTTCAAAACAAAACGAAACAAAACAAGTGCCCTTTAGAGGTGGAATTCCTAAGCTAGGGAAATGTTTATTTCAATGACCAAAGAAAAGTGTATCAATGCACTTCTTTTTTTATATTTTTTTCTGCCCTCTGTGAACAAATCAATGCACATTTAAGAAAAAAAGCCCAACCCAATCTCTGTATATTTTAGGTTAACTTTTGTTGGGAATAAACCAAAACTAAGATTTTTTTTTTTCCTCATGTTATTTAAATAACATGGTATGTACTTTATTAACTCCTGGAAAAAAATTCAAAGAAAAAGGGCACTCTAGGTGTGTATGTATGTGTATGCCTAGGTGTGTGTGCACATTCATGCTATGACTTAAAAGTCTGTTCTTAACTGAAATGTACAAAAACTTTTCATGGAAAGACCATGGATTTCAAGTTTCCTGAGGACGGGGGCCATATATTGTTCACTCTCATTCTCAGCTCTTGGCACAGAAGTTTGCTGAACTACATTTTAAAAGAAGATTTTTCACTGTTAACGGTATCCATAGCTGCCATGACAACAAAAGGGTATGTTAACAGCCTTTCAATTCTGTCCATGGCTTACAAAATCTATACATTTTATGCTGTAAATACTCTAGAAATTACCCAGTCTAGTTTTCTCAATTTATCAATGAAAAAAGAGATCAGTCTAGGCATGGTGGCTCACACCTACACTCCCAGCACTTTGGGAGGCCAAGGCAGGAGGATCACCTTAGCCCAAGAGTTAGAGACTAGCCTGGACAACCTAGCATGAACCCATTTCTTTAAAAAAAATGAAAACAGAAAAAAAAAAAGAAATAGATCACTTCCAAGTGAAGGACTTGTTTAGGGTCATATACAGCTTCTTGAGCAGAACAACAAGCAATTCACCCACATGCCCAGTCCAGAATGCTTTCCTTTCCTGACACTTCACACCATTAGCAACTCCTACACTTTGACTTACACAACACCAATAAAGGAAAATAATTTACAGACTTTCGTGCCTGTCTCATGTAAGCTTTGTCTTGAAATAAAACTGAGGTAGACAACAATATACCCATAAATTATCACCAATTCCTCACTCTCTCATACTTAAGCATACAAGATTTTAAAAAGACATTAATATTACAATTATTCTATAAATGAGCCATTACACTGCTTCATGGCATTAATAAACTCTAAGTACAATTGGCCCTTCATGTCTGTGGGTCCTGCTTCCCCATATTCAACCAAACACAAACCAAAAATATTTGAGGGAAAAAAGCAACTAATAAAAAACTAACAATACAATAAAAAAAAGTACAAATAAAAATATAGTATAACAACTATTTACATAGCATTTACCCTGTATTAGATATTATAATTTAGAGATGACTAAAGGTATATGGAAAGATGAATATAGGTTATATGCAAATACTATGTCATTTTATATAAGGAACTTGAGCATCTAAGGATTTTTTTACCTACTGGGAAGGGGAGAGGTGAGGGATGAGGAGTGTGCCTGGAACTAACACCCCATGGATACAGAGGGAAGACTATACAAAACAGTAATTAAAAAGTCAAAAATATTTTTAGAAAAAGTTTACAGAGGTACCTGAATGTTTTCTGAGGACTCGTGCTAATTCTTCAATAGTTCTGACACAGTCTAATCCCTGCAACAAAGAAGGTACCAAGAACTTAATAAAAACTGGAAGACAGGTTCTGAAACTGGCTATAGTTTCCATTACCTTTAGAAATAATGAAATTAATTTCAAGTCAGCCTCTCTGTATATTTTTCCTTTCTAGTTGGGTATCAGAGTCAGTAATCACAGGAAATATCCTGAGGGTACAAAAACCACTGAACACCCAATACATCCTAATTGTTTTGGGTGTGCAGCAAAGGCTAAAATCAGTCATGAAGCCTATGGACCCAGGACTTCCAAAAAAGTCTGAACCATAGTGAGGACCTTCATTTCTTCCCCTCCATATAATTATATCACTCAGAAGTACTCCATGTCCCAGAATATATAAGAGAAGGCTTCTGTGCTGCAGCTTATTTATTCTAAGTAGAGCTTCATTATAGTTTAGGAGTTGATGAATTGCTGTGGAGAGTGATTAAGCTCAAATTATTTCCCAATAGGACTAGCCAGAATTATAATGTATAAAACTAAAGTCATACAGCAAATATGAATAGTATTTCAAATAAATCATTCTTAAAAACATTTGGGCTGACTCTATCAACACAGGCCTGTTTGATGGTTATAAAAATCCCAGAACATATTTGGAATGTTAGTTTAGAAATGCCCTCAAAAAGAGTTCATAAGCCAAGTAAAAAAAATAAATAAATAAACCTTGAGGATGTATAATAGGGTCATTCCATATGTTGAGCCAATCTTGCTTATATACTTTATTCATATTCAGGCTAGATCACTTTTGACTATTTTCCCAAATCAGGTATATCCTCAAAATATAAAGACGTGAAACTAAGAAAAGGTACAAAAAGGTCTTCAGCAACAGCAGCATCATTCATGTAGATATCTAGCATTTGGACTGCTGTCAAGATTTAAAAGGAATAGGGACTCAGCACTTCCCAGACTTTATACCTTTATATGGTATTTTATAAATGCCTTCAGATATCCCAGGGGCTGGCAAGCTTATTTTCCTTTGTGCACCATATGGTCTCTTACAACCACTAAACTCTGTGCTTACACAGAGTGAAAGCAGCCATAGGCATTATGTAAGTGAGTAGGTACAATTCTGTTCCAATACAACTTTATTTACAAAAACAGGCAGTGGGGGGCTGAATTTAGCCCAAAGGCCGTTGTTTGGTGACTCCTGACATACATGATCCATGATAATGTGTACAAAAATCAGTGGAGGCAGGAGGAACAGGTATTAAACTTTATTATTTACCAAAGACCACATATTTAGTTACTGATGAAACCAAGTTTATCTCAAATCCAGGTCTCTGGACTATAAGGTTAATACTCTTATCATTTACCACACTGCCCATCTGGTAAAAAACTTTACAGATAACCTTATGTGGGTGTGTGATCCAAGCTGGCACAGTAGCCAAGCCAATGAGACACTGGAGAGGCTGGTTTGGCTATGTAGAATTCCCAGGCATCACTTTCCAATCCACTTTTTGCTACAGGGTGAAAGTACAACCTTTCTACTCCTCACATTCCTCACAACCTTTCTAAGCTATTTAATGTATTTGGCCAGAGACTGTGCCAAACAGCACACTCCATAGGGTATGCCCTGATAAATTTGGAAAATACCAAGCAGTAATGTCAGTCTAGATTGGTCAAATCACACTGCCACAGCAAATGGAAGTTTTATGTGGTCACTGTACCTCAGCAGTTTCAAGTCCATTAATTGTCATACAGACGTCAAGGTCACTCTGTTTGAACCCAAATCCATTTTTGGAGGAGCCAAACAGGCTCAATTTAGTTCCTGTTAGGGATATATGAAAAGTAATAACTAATTACCTGAGTACATTTAATTTTTGATCAAAATGGCCCTCTCATGAAGCAGAAATACCCAGTTGTTTATCCTATATTATTCTCATACTTATGTTCTCTGATTAACTGGTCATTTATTCTAAAATCTTTTTCTCAAAGTTTCCTTTATATATAAGCTGTATATGGCAAGAAAGATTACCAGTGCTACTTTATTCTCAAATGCAAAGACATTTCAAGGACAATGTTAGATCACCTCAACACATTTAATAATGTAAGCTTAACTTTGACTACAAACATAGTATTACATGAAATTCATTTATGGCACTTACTAGAATAAACCCTACACTATTTCTGTTGGTAAACGAGGATTAAGCAGACCAAGGACCATTCTGGGTATATCGCAAAACAGTGGAAACCCTGTTTTGATTCTCAAAATCAGTGTGCTTATAACACATGAACTCATTTAGAAGAAAGGTCACACAACTTTTCTTAAAAATAAAAAACAATTTACCTGGAAAATCCTGTCTTATGAAACTTTCTAGGTTTTGCCGAATATGTTCACGAGCCTGATCTTCTATAATTGTTGGAGAAAAATCCTCTGTTTAAAAATAAATCATCATATTAAGAAAATATGACTGTTAACACTTTTTAATTTTTACAAAATAAAACTTATAAACTTAAATTCAAAAATTCCTAAATTATTGTCTTCTCAGTAGACAGCAATAACAAGGTAAAATTCTTTTATTTATTTTTGAGACAAGGTCTGGCTCTGTTGGCCAAACAGAGTAGTAGTAGTATAGTGGTGCAATCTTTTTTTTTTTTTTTTTATTGAGATGGAGTTTCGCTGCTGTTACCCAGCCAGGCTGAAGTGCGGGGGCACGATCTCAGCTCACTCAACCTCCGCCTTCTGGCTTCAAGCAATTCTCCTGCCTCAGACTCCCGAGTAGCTGGGACTACAGGCGTGCACCATCATGCCCAGCTAATTTTTGTATTTTTAGTAGAGATGGGGTTTCACCTTGTTGACCAGGATGGTCTCGATCCCTTGACCTCATGATCCACCCGCCTCGGCCTCCCAAAGTGCTGGGATTATAGGCGTGAGCCACCGCGCCCGGCCATTGGTGCAATCTTAACTTACTGCAACGTCTGCCTCCCAGGCTCAAGCCATCCTCCCACCTTGGCCTCCCCAGTAGCTGGGACTACAGGCATTTACCCATGCCCGGCTAATTTTTGTAACAATAATGTAAAATTTAAAATGTACTTTTTTAAGAGTCTAAGAAGTGATCTTGAAATGGAAAATAATTTAAACAGGGATCTGCACTTGGGTTTCCCGAAAGGCACTAGCATTACAGAAAGGGCCTTCAGGGATCACCACCCCACAAAAGTGTGAATTTAAAAGTTTGTGAGCATTTGCATGTATTTTTTTCCCTAAGGAGAACCTAGGTTTTTTTCATAGCTCATAATACCCAAAAAATGTTTCGAAAAAATTAAAAAGTACTGGTTAAGAACACGTGCCTTCTAGCACAGATGAACACGTTATGATGAAGCCACGTGAAACAAGTTCCTTTATTTTAAGCAGCTGAACATCTCTCCTTTAAATGTTTTCTTTTTGTAAAACTTTAAGCCTCTCTACACCAATGCTTCCCCAAACTCGTGTTCCTAAAGGGTTGTTACGTAGGCTATTGTGTTACTTGAAAAGTATTCTATGTTCAAATGTTAGAAATAATATTTCTCAGATACCTTTACTATGCTAATATGTCCTGGAAATCTCTAAAGGAGACTGACTGTCCCTAAGAGAGAAGGGAGTGTGTTGCATTATTCCCTACTTGGCCCAGGTATACTTCTGGTGACGAAATATTATTAACTGCATCCAGAAAAACATTTCAAAGGATACCAGCTGGGAATTGCTAGTACTCTAGTTTTAAGACTCAAAAGATCCCCAGCAAATCAACTTTCGGCCCCTCACAGAGACAGTACTTTGAAATTCATATTGAGATTTTACCCTCTCCCAACCATTTTGGAAAAATTATGAACTGAAACTTTTCAGAAAATATCTTTTTTCTGGAAGAAAATGTCCCTCCCTTACTCTCATCCTTATTTTGTATCCTGTCTTATAACAGTCCATCCATTTTTGTAGCAAACTTTTCAAAAACAGTTATATAACCTGGTCCTATCTTTCTGGGGCCTGGATCTGCTTACACAGCAGGAAGGATACCACCACCAACCTTTACATAGCCCAGCTGGCCATGAAAGTGTGTCCAGGCTTCAAGTAACTCAAATTTTAATCTTTGGCAGGGTGCTTTGGCTCAGCCTATAATCCCAGTACTTTGGGAGGTAAAGGTGAGCGAATCACTGGAGGTCAGGAGTTTGAGACTAGCCTGGCCAACAATGGTAAAACCCCATCTCTACTGAAAATGCAAAAAAAAAAAAATTAGCCTGACATGATGGCACATGACTATAATCCCAGCTACTCAGGAGGCGGAGGCAGGAGGATTGCTTGAACCCAGGAGGCAGAGGTTACAGTGAGCTGAGATCGCACTGCTGCACTTCAGCCTGGGTGACAGAGCTAGACTTCGTCACACACAAAAAAATCTTTCTTGGCAGAGTAACGGAAAATTGAAAGGGGGGAAGATATTAATACTGAGCTTTAAAAAGAAACCTGCTGGCCAGGCGCGGTGGCTCAAGCCTGTAATCCCAGCTCTTTAGGAGACTGAGCTGGATGAAACACTTGAGGTCAGGAGTTCGAGACCAGCTTGGCCAATATGATGAAACCCCATATCTACAAAAAATATAAGAACTAGCTGGGTGTGGTGATGCATGCCTCTAACACCAGCTACTTGGGTGGCTGAAGCAGAAAAATTGCTTGAACCCAGGAGTTAGAGGCTGTGATAAGCTGATACCCCGCTACTGCATTCCAGCCTGGGGGACAGAGCAAGACCATGTCTCCTCACCAACCTCTAAAAAATGAAACCTGCTATGATTAGTATATACCTTGATGCAACAACTATGCTGTTAATAAAAGGAAGTATGAAAGACACTTGGCATTAAAAGAAAAACAATGGGGAACACAGGGAAACTGTATCACTACAAATAATTAAAAAATCAGTCAGAAAGAAGAAAAAAATCAGTCAGGCATAGTGGCATGCACCTGTGCTCCCAGCTGCTTTGGAGGCTGAGGTGAGAGAATTACTTTAGTCTGGAGAGGTCAAGCCTGCAGTGGCTTATGATAGTTCTCCTACACTCCGGACTGGGTGACAAAGTGAGATCCTGTCTCAAAAAATTTAAAAAAAAAATTTTTTTTTAAATAAAAAAGACCCTCTCTGCTTCTCTCCTCATCTTTCTTTGACATCTATTGAGTTTCGCAAATGGAACAGACATGACATGGCACAATGTGGATACAACAGAGAACGGAATAGACTTGGTCCTTAATGTTTAGAGAGCCAATAGTGATTCTAATGACTCAAGTAAATGTCAATTTAGTATTCTGACAAATCAAAAGAAATGTGAATAACTTACTATAACATTGGATACAAACTTGATCTAAGATATTTAAAAACTTGGGTGTTAATGGTGGCAGAGGTTCTAGATGGATTCTTTTGAAGTCTTCAGGACAGTCCTTCTTTAGATGACCCTCTCGTTTGCATAAGCTGCACACCACCATAGGAGACTGCAGGAATATGGCAAAGCAAAACAAGACTTAACACTTTATTTGCCAAATAAAGGAGTCTGGAATCATTTCTTAAAAGTACATAGTCACCTATCCACTTTCAAAGGAAACAAAAATATAACATGCATCCATTCAAATGATCTGAGAGATGGGGACATCCTATGGTATCCTTAGGAGAACAAGGTAGTTATTTTCACTACTAATAGGCTTCCCTTCCTCTGCTAATTCCCATGAGTCTTAAGGAGGAAAGTGGACGAAGCAGTCATATGAGAATGAAAGGCCAACTTGTTAAACACTACCAAACTAGGAAAACTCCTAGTATATAAAAATTGAAATTACATGCATTCAAATTGCTTAAAATCTCCTAGTTCTATGTCTAGTAGTGGTACTGATTACCTTGCCTTTGGTGAAGATAAGTTTACTGAATTCATAAAAAAAATCAGACTGATCCACAGGTGAATTTTCTTCACATACATTTTCTTCCTTAAGACTTATTTTGTTAAGTCCAACTAGCAGAGCTCCATCTACATGTTTCCCACAATCTTTCACATCTTCATACTTAGCAGGCTCGCCTAACTCATCATCCTCTTCAGATAGCGCATCTTCATCCCCTGACCCAGTGTACGTGTTGTCTAACTCATCTTCGTTAGCCATGCCATCTTCATCTTCCCTTTGGTTAATGGTGAGCCTAGGTTCTTCTTCCTCCTCTTCTTCATCCTCTTCATCAGAGGGAATAATTTCTGATGCCTGGCCCTGTATTGAGTAGGTAAAGTGGTTTAGAGAGTCTTCTAGTTCCTCAGTACCTTCTATACTTTCTCCATCAAGATCAACCTTCTCATTTAAAGTAGCAAGTCCATCACACTCTTTAGTGGTGGGATTTTGGAAGCCTTCTAAATCCAAAGTGCTATCTGACTCATTATTACATGTGCTGCCACAGATGACACGCTCCCCATGTTTCTGATCAACAGTCAACAGATGCTTGCCCTTTCTTCCAATTTCCTCTTTCTCATTTTTCCTTCCTATTTCTTGATGGTGCACTTTATCAACCTCGTAATCATCATAGTTAACGTCTGCCTGGATACAGTCTGAGTTTTCAGGGTGGACACTGATGTGCTCATTTCCCATTTCTTCTGTTGATGGGCTCCCAAAGCTTTCAGCATTCTTTTTAAGAGTAACTGGCTGTACCATACAGGTATTTGCAGCTGAACTGGTAGCATCAGGACCTTGAGCCAAAACTGAGTTTTTGAGTTTATCATCTTTTGCTTGTATATCTGGATCATGATGTACTACTTCTTTAGGATGTTCTGAAATACATGTAACTGCATTCAGGGGCTTTGGAAGGCTGGATTTTGCAATTTTGTGTGGAAGAGCAAAATATTTGTATGTTGTCCTTAAACAATGAAGTATATATTCAAACACAGGTTGACTATTTAGGGTCCTTGCCACATTTCTTTTAACAGAATAGGGATCTGTAATTAAAAAAAAAAAGAAAAAAATCCATGTCTTCATATACTACTGTATTTCATGTTTTAAAAATTAGCCTGCTGCAGATAAAAACAGACAACAAACAACAGTAAAATTTATCTTTTACTTTATACGCTTAAAAAAAAAACTGGGGATGGAGAGTAAGAAAATAGAGTTTAAGAACAAAAAGCAGTATTTTCTGAAACATCTGCTCTATGAAGGGAACCCATTCTGTTCAGAACCAGTACCCCTTCTCCCTATTGTGCTCTGTGACTGTGGAGGTAGAAAAGATGTTATCAGCATGGCTCACAGGCCCTCAGGAAGGAAGATCTTCCCACCAGGCTCTGCTGCTGAGTGCTCTGCCTCCCCACTCAGCCAGGCCCTGCGGTTTATCGAGCTTACCTCCACTCTTCTGCCCTGGGAAGCCCCATCACTGAATTGGCTGGACTGATTTCAGGGGCGAGAGGGAGGCACCAGGAGGAGACACCACTTCTCTCAATCTTTTCTCCTCCCCTAGAACTCCAGCAGGTTAGGCAATTGGCCAGAAGAGCTGAGCCAGAGAAACTGCAGGGGAGGGTTTAAAAATGTGAGATCCCCATGACTGCACACAGAATTTATGCAAAATGCAAAAAACCCTCTTATGCAACATAAAGCTTGAAAAAAAATCAAGCAAAAATAAGAGAATTCCATTTAGGAGGTTCTTTAAATTATTTAAAGGAGGAGAATTAAGATTTCTAGAGGGGCTTCAACCTCCTGACTTTGCAAAGCTGAGAAGATCTAGTCCATTTAATGACGTCTACAGGGCACACCAGTGTATCTTTGATAAAGTGATTTCAGTTAAATGAGCCTTCACTAAAAATGTGTTTTTATGAATTAAGTTCTAAATGTTACTGTAGATACGTCAAAAATAACTACTCATTCTCTCTACTGGAGAGGAATCCAGTGGAGAATGACATTTTTGACGAGAAAATCGTCCTCACCTTTGCAAAACTAAACGACTTTGACAATCCACAAAAGGAGTAAATTTAATGGTAAAGAGGAAAGGGGGATTTACACATCACTTTGAAAAACATATTTTAGGCATTTAAGTGGTTAAGCAATCTACAAAGAAAGCAAGGACTCAGCCAGCCAATATTCAAGTTGTTTATACTTTAAAAACCCAGGGTGAACAGTTTGATTCCTTGAAATGACCCACTGTAACACATTCAAGATTCTAATTATTTATTTCCCTTTGAGGGCAGGCCTACCTTACTTGTAGGAGCTGAAAAGAGGCTGAAATAAAAAGCATGCTATTAGACTGGTACCTTAAAAAAAAAAAGGGGGGGTGGTAGTGGGAGGGAATTAAAGATAAACATTTTGAGATACCTTCAATGGCAATGCGTTTCTTGGGCCAGTCCTTCAATTCCCGAGATACCAATTCTTTGACACGAATACTTATCACTAAATCAGCCAAATTAAATTCTAAAGCATAGAATCGAAGCAATTCCACCCAGAGCTGCCCAACTGGTACTGAAGGCTGGTGTTTCATATCCAATATTAATGACACCTATTAATAGCAAAGAGAAACATACAGGTTATTTCTGATTTAAGTATAATCTGGAAAATTAAAGATCATTCAAGCATCAAATTAAAAAAATCTGGAAAACCTGAGCAAAGATATAAACCTGACAATGCATCTAGATAAATCAATTCTAACCTCTATTTTGTTTGTAGTAAAATAGCATTACTTCACTGCACTATTAGAATTAGAATATGCTATAATCCAGTGATTATCACAGGAATAGACAGGATCAATTTTATTTAACCAGACAGCGCTCCTAATTTTGAACTGTTAATAACAGGTCGAGAGGACTGTGCATAGGTTGCTAATATTCTCAGCACTGAACTCTTCCTGTTACTGCTGCTGGAGGCACCTTTATAGTCACAGACACACAAAAATGGACAATAGCTAAAGTCATAGAGAAAAAGGAAAAACACTCCTCTCACTGCCCTGGGAAGCTACATAAGCACACTGACTCTGTCAGTGGCAAATGATTTTAAAGTCAAATAACTCTTGCCATCAGAAATTGACACTAGTTTTATACTTATAGATTTCTGACAAGTTGGAACATAATTGCGTTGTAATATATTAGAAAGTACGTATTACTTAGGATAGGGGAAAATAATGGGCCCAAATAGATTCTGCCACATCATAGCTCTTAATTGCTCTATGACTTAGCTTCTTCATTCTCAGACTGGTAGCACAGCACAGTGGCTAAGAAGACTGGTTTTGGAATTGGGACAATCTTAGATTTGAAATCCAAACTCTGCCATGTATTAGCCGTGTATGAGCAAGGTCAAAGTCTATAATCTCTCTAAGCCTGGGTTTCCTCATCTGAAAAATGGGGATAACAGTACCCACCTCATAGGGTTGTTGGGAGGACTGAATGAGATAGTGTCTGTAAAGTGCTTAGCACAGTGCCTGGCACACAGTGTTCAAAAAATGGTCGCTATCATTATCTGCAGAGTAGGGATGATACCACCTATAACACAGGATAGTGATGAGGATTAAATCAGAAACAAGGGAAATCATCTGGCAGACTTGGTTGCTCTGTATTTTTTCACGTAGGTATAGCCTTTTTAAGTTCAAGAAATCCATATATCACTGAAACACAATGTCACAACTGTAAGATGCTCTCAAGAGGTAATCTAGTCCAACTCCTGTATGTTACAAGAGAAGGAACTGAAGCCCCACAAGTTTCCATGGCTTGTCAGAAGGTTGCACTGCCTGGCAGTGGCTGAATGAGAACAATGTTTCAATGTCTCCTGATCCCAGTACACTGCACAACATATGCAACCTCGTAATGCCTGTAGTTCACTTTATTTCAGAAATGGCAGCATGATAAATCTTTCCAAATAACATAAAAATGTAAAAATAAAGCATTAACTGGATTTACAGCAATAGCTTTTCCTATAATTCACACTGAAACAAGTAATTTCCTCTAAAGTACACAAATTTGTCTTCAATCATACTTTATTATATTAAGCTTCAAAACCAGTGGTATATTTTTCTCAACCACAAAGGTTCTGTCAAGTAATATAAAGTAACATGGTGGCTTTACAAAGCAGAATCGATTAAAAATGCAAGTTGTCTAGGTCCCAAACACTATAGTTTGAGGACACAAAAAAATACCCCAGAAATTTTAAGCACTGTAACATTTTACCTCTTTATCCATAACAGCATTACAAAGGATTTTTAAGCATCTCACTGAAATGACTTGATAATACCATAACATGAAACTGGAGAGATCTTTGAAATATCTAGACTACAGGTACTTAAACTGGTTTCCTTTAAAGCAGAAACATTTTCTTTTTCAAATAAGAACAGCAGCTAACATTTACTGAGTGCTCACCACATGCTCGGCACTGGGTTAAGCATTCTGTAAGTGACCCTATGAGAGGGTACCAATATTATCCCCATGAGGAGGGAGGAAACTGGTGCACAGAAAGGCTAAGTCACTTGCCCAAGGACACACAGCTGGGAAGTGGGAGAGCTGGGATACAAATTCACATATTCTGGCTCCACAGCCTATACTTTTCTCCACTACAGAAACTCCAAATAGGAAACAGATAAAAGTGGTTCTGGTGGCAGCAGGTGTAGGGTGGTACCACCACTCTCCTCCTCCTCCCAGTGTTCAAGAATTCTAGAAACCACAACTAGAAAATCTGTGATTCACCACTAACTCCTCATTTTAGGCATGAGTAAAACATGAACTGGAGGAGTGACATGACTTGTTTGTATAGAGCTGGGATTCGAATCCAAGAATTCTGTAGATATTATTGTCATTTTACCCCATTTAATGGGAAGAGCAGGGGCCTTTCACCTATGTGGGAGAGAATCTTATTCTTATTACTAGGATAATGACATTGCAGAGATGTTCGTTTGAAATTCTAATGGATATAAATTCCCCTGCCCACCTCCAACAGTATAGGACGAGTACATTAAATCATATATGCATTCACTGTTATTTTAGTAACTGAAAGTTAGTTAACCCTTCATTCATTAAACCTCATAATACCACCTAAGACTAAGCTCTTTGAGCATAGATAAGGATTTACCTTTGAATTCTGAGTCTTTTTCAAAGGACCCAGCACAAAGAAACTACATAAATAAATGCAGATGTAGTGATCTAATTTTTTTTAACTTTTCTCGTTATTTGTCTTTTCAAGGTACTAAATAGACTGGCAAATGAAAGAGCCATGAAATATTTAAGATAGTTAAGGAAAGAAGACAAGACTGATTAACCCACAAACTTCACAATTGACAACTAGAAACAAAAGAGAACAGACCTGTCCCCTTTTAATCGGTATTTCTCTTGGTGCCTCTTCTTTTGATGAATCTGTGTCCCCTGCAGCATTGTCACTATATTCCCAGATCACAACATCTTTTTCAATGTCTTTAAGGTTGAAATTCCCTAGTTTGCTTAGTGAGAATCCTTCAATCTAGGAAAAATTAGACACATACTAAAATAAGATAAAAGTAATTTTATATCAAACATAGCCTACTAATCTTGGAAGGAATGAAAAAACATACTCATAGTTCATTAAAAATACAAAATATAATTTGTGGAATATCACAGAGACATCTATAAATTTAAAAATATTTTTAAAAGTAAAAAACAAGGTTTTGACTTGTAGAAAGAATGGTGACTTTGTGAAATAATTCTTCAGTAAATATTCTAAGAGTAGGCAAAGTAGCCTAGTGGCTGAGGTCATGGGTTCTGAAGTAAAACTGCCTGGTCTCAAATCTCAGCTCCTTCGTATACTAGCTGTACAACCTTGGGTAAGGTACTTACTCTCTATAGGACTCAGGTTCCTTTAAAAAGTGATAACACTAGGACTTCCTCCATGGGATGGTTATGATACAAAAAAATGACCATAAGGCACTCAGATAGAGGCAGTATCTGCTTGTAGCATAAAGCACATAGTAGCTGCTTAATAAATATAAGACAACTATACTGTTAGAAAATGAAATTAAAAAACTAGATCCAACTAATAGCAAATAATTTTAAATATTATTAATTCTGATTATGCTGGACATTTCCAAAGTAAATTTTATGTGATATTAATGAATTTTGATGCAAAAGAAAATGGTCTGGCTGAAAAGGCTTGCAAAATAAACCTAGCCAAACAGGTTTCTTCACTGTATAATGAGATTTATCTCAGCCTTTAAAACAGGTAAATGAACAAAATAATATGGGATGAAGTACAGATGCGGCCTCACATTTCTCAAATGTATTTTTATACTAAATGGACTACTTCATCGGTTTAGAAGAGAGTGATCCTTCCAAAATTTTAAGGCATCATGTCACTTTCCTGTTCATAGTGGTTTCCTTCTCTCTAGATGAAATGCAGTCCTTTCCAGGGCCTGCAAAACCTGGCCCTTTTCTATTCCTCTGATCCTTCTTCTATCTTCGTGGCTCAGAGATGACACCTGGTATTCCCTTGCTTAAAATGCCCTTCTCCCTAACAAAGTGAGGGAGGATATGGCTCACTTTATTCTTCCCCACTTTATTTAGTGCTGCTCAAATGTTTTCTCTAAGGAGCTCCCCATTTATCATTCTCTGTCCTCCTTACCCTGGTTTATTTTTCCTCAGAGAAATTACCACCACTGCATATGTATTTATTAGTCTCTTGCCCCTACTGGATGTACAAATTCAAGGAGGCAAAGATTTGCGTTTTGTTCACCACTTCTTTTTTTCTTTTTTTTTCCCTGAGATGGTCTCACTCTGTTGTCCAGGTTGGAGTGCAGTGGAGCAATCTTGGCTCACTGCAACCTCCACCTCCCACGTTCAAGTGATTCTCCTGCCTCAGCCTCCCAAGAAGCTGGGATTACAGGCACCTGCCACCATGCATGCCCAGTTAATTTTTGTACACACACACACACACACATATATATATATATATTTTTTTTTTCTTTTTTTTTAGTAGAGATGGTGTTGCACCATGTTGTCCAGGCTGGTCTCGAACTCCTGACCTAAGGTGATCCACCTGCCTTGGCCTCCCAAAGTGCTGGGATTACAGGTATGAGCCATTGCCCCCGGCCATGTTTACTACTTTTAACCCTAACACCTAGAATAGTGCCTGGCCATGGTAACTGCTCAGTAAAGATTTGCTGACAGACTGAACTAGTCTTCCACAGAAAACACTTTGGAAAATATCAGGCATGGTGACTGTTTCTTAATTGGATGTATGTTTGCAATATTTTTCTCAATTGGGTAGATTGCCTTTTTGTTTAGGTAGTGATGTTTTCTGAAGAGCTGCAGTTTTAGAATTCAATAAAGTTTGATTTCTTATGTTTTTCTTTATTGATATGGTTTATGCTTTAGTATTTTAAGAAATCCTTGCTGCAAAGGTTTTTTTCCTAAGTTTTCTTCTGGGAGTTTCAGAGTCTTTCTCTTTGAATTTAAGCATTTAAATCTAAAACTTTCCCTATGCACACTATTTTAGCTACATCTGACAAATTTTATACATCTTCTTTTTTTTTTTTGAGATGGGGTCTTGCTCTGTTGTCTAGACTGGAGTGCAGCGGTGTGATCATAGCTCACTGCAGCCTCTACCTCCTGGGCTCAAGCAATCCTCTCACTTCAGCCTCTTGAGTAGCTGGGACTAGGGTGTATGCCACTATGCTAAGCTTATATTTTTATTATTATTTAGTTCAAAATATGTTCAATCTCCCATTTGAATTCCTCTTTAATCCATGGAATCCTTTCAAATGTACTATGACTTCTTTTAAGAAACAGCATAGGCCAGGTGTGGTGGCTCATGCCTATAATCCTAACACTCTGGGAGGCCGAGACAGAAGGATCACTTGAACTCAGGAGTTTGAGATCAGCCTGGGCAACATGGTGAGACCTTGTCTCTTAAATTAAAAAAAAAAGGAACCAGAATATAGTCTATCTTGATGAATATACCATATGGACTCGAAAAAAATATGTATTCTGCAGTTATTGGGTATAGTGTTTTATAAATAACAATTAGGTGGTTGGTAGTGTCTATCAGCTTATACTGTCTATACTGTGTGTTTAGCTAACACAGGTGTCAACTGATGAAAGCTGTTAAAAATCTCATCAGATGGTAGAATAGATTCCATCAATTTTTACTTCATGTATTTCAGTGCTCTCTTAATAGGTGCAAACATTTGCAATTGTTTTGTCTTCCCAATGAATTGACCCTACCCTAATAAAATCTCCCTTTTGTCTTTCGCATATTTTTTTGCTTGAAATCCATCTCATCTGATATTAACATAGCCTCTCTTGTATGGTTACAATTTACATCTTCTGCCATCCATTTACTTTTAACCTATATGTCTTTACATTTTAATTTATTTCTTCTAGAGAGAATATAGTCTTGCTTTTAAAATTCATTCTGAATGGGATCTAGTTAAACTTAAGAACTTCACAGCAAAACAAACTCAACAGAGTAAACAGAAAACCTACAGCATAGAAGACAATTTTGGTGAACTATACATCAAAGGTCTATCATCTACTATCTATAAAGAACTTAAACAAGTTTATAAGAAAAAAAGAAAAAAATCCCATTAAAAAGTTTGGGCAGACGAGAGGACTCAAGATGGCGCTGTGAGAACAACCCAGGATTGGAGTTCTCGTGTCGGCGGAGAGGTGAGTCTCAGCTGCATTTCCAGACTGATCTTTGTTGCCCACCGAACGGGGAAATTCCCAAGTGAAGAGGAGACGCGGGACGCCAGGCAGATATTCCGCCTGGCGTAGCCGGCAGCCGGGGTGGCGGCGGCCGGCCCTACCCAGTGCTCCCCACAGGGCGCACTTGTCCGGGTGTCCCGTTGAACCGGCAACCGGAGACGTGAGAGGGCTGGACTTGAGACTGAGCTAGACTTGGACAGTGGGCCAGCCCAGGGGATTGCAGGAACAGAGCGTTAGGATTGGCCCAGAGGGACGAACAAAACCGCGATTTCAAACAAGCCCCGTGCAGACGGCCCGAGACGCTCTGAGGGGGAGGGGCGGCCACCATTACCGAGGCAACCCGCCCCAACTGAGATACACGCCCATTGCTGACGCAGCCAGCCGTTGCCGAGGCAACCCGTCCCTACTGAGATACACGCCCACTGCTGACGCAGCCTGCCGTTGCTGAGGCAACCCGCTACAACAGAGAGACTCCACAGCAGGGCGTGGCAGAGAACAGCAGAACAGCTGAGCCAGGGTGAGCCTCACAACAGCAGGGCGGAGCCTCGGCAGGCAAACAGTGGCTAGTCTGCATCCTAGCTGGGCAGGACCTCAACGGACATCCAAAAATAAAGCCCAAACCCCTCAACACAGAGGATTTGAGAAAAAAAAGGGTTTTTTTAATGAGCTCTGTTGCAGCAGAATCAAACATAGCAGCCTAACAGCCCTGAATGAACAACACAGCTCACAGCTCAGCAATTAAACCCCTATAAAGTACAAACTGTCTCCTCAAGCAGCTCCCTGACCCCTCTATATCCAAAAGACTGACATTAGGCAGGCACCATCCTGGGACAAAGATAGCAGAAAAAGAAACTGGTAGCATCCCTCGCTGTGCCACAGCTGCTAGAGCTGCACCCCAGACAAGCAGGGTCTGGAGCGGACCTCAGCACTCACACAGCGAAGGGGCTAGACCGGTAGAAGGAAAACCAAGCAACAGAAATACTTCATCATCAACATTCAGGGTGTCCACTCAGAGACCCAATCGAAAAGTCAGCAACTACGCAGACGACCAGCGGACAAATCCACAAAGATGGGAAGAAACCAGCGCAAAAAGGAGGAAAACACCCGAAACCAGAACACATCGCCTCCTAGAAAGGACCAAAACTCCTCACCAGCAAGGGAACAAAGCTGGACGGAGAATGACTGTGACGAAATGACGGAATTAGACTTCAGAAGATGGATAATGAGAAACTTTTGTGAGCTAAAAGATCATGTATTAAATCAATGCAAAGAAACTAAGAACCTTGAGAAAAGATTTGAAAAAAGATTTGAGGAAATGATAACAAGAATGGATAACTTAGAGAGGAATATGAATGAATTAAAGGAGCTGAGAAACACAATACGAGAACTTCGCGAAGCAAATGCAAGTTTCAATAGCCGAATTGACCAAGCAGAAGAAAGAATATCTGAAGTCGAAGACCAACTTAATGAAATAAAACAAGAAACCAAGATTAGAGAAAAAAACGCAAAAAGGAATGAACAAAGTCTCCAAGAAATGTGGGACTATGTGAAAAGACCTAACCTACGTTTGATAGGTGTACCAGAAGGGGACGAAGAGAATGAATCCAAGCTGGAAAATACTCTTCAGGACATCATCCAGGAAAATTTCCCTCACCTAGCAAGACAGACCAACACTCAATTGCAGGAAATTCAGAGAACACCACAAAGATATTCCGCAAGAAGAGCAACCCCAAGGCACACAATCGTCAGATTCAATAGGGTTGAAATAAAGGAGAGAATACT